TTGTGCAGAGCATTTGGTGAGGGGCTCTCCAGTCTTAAACGTGAAACATGTTCAACTGACACTAAAGCAGAATTAAGTGCCAAAGCATTTGCTGCTTCTACAATTACACTCCGGAGCGCTTTGGTGCTCCTGCTCTCCTTTTATGACCCAACTTGGTCTTATTGTAGTTTGGCTTTCTCGTTTTAAGTTCTCCAAATGGAAAGGATCAAAGAGCTCTTTGTTGTCGTGGCAGGAGAGCTCCTCGGAGCGAGGCATTCCTGCCACGAACAGCTTGCGGCTCAGGGGGGATTCGCGGCCGCTCTGTGCCACCAGCCCGAGCCAAAGCATCAGCAGGTGCAGCCCCCGCGCTCCCCGCAGCCAGCCCAGCCACCTGAGCAGCTCTGGGTGGCACACGGGGCCGGGAAAGGTTTTCTCATTTACGCTTCACAAATCTGGCACCGGGAAATCCAAACTTCCCTCGGCTCTCACAGCAACAATGAGCTGCGGCAGCAGCTGGGGTAACAGCGAGGAGCGGGGAGAGAAGCCTCCAGAACGGAGAAGTTTCTCTGTTTGCAAAGATCGGAGTTAGCTAAGCTTAGGTTAAAACACTTCCTCTCCTCAAGTGCTGCTGTATTTAGGAGCTGTCTGGGTGAGCGACTGGTAATGTGCTGCAAATAACAAAAAAACCCAACCACCACCAAACGCGTCCGTGACATCCCAGAAATGCCGGCTTGGCACAGGGCACAGCGAGTCTCAGCACTCCAAGTGAGAGGGGGCTGAGGCTCTGGTTTAATTATCACCTTTTCGGCAGCTCAGCCCCCAGGCTCGAAGTCAAACTGTGGTGACACCAGCCCTCCGTACAATGGAGAGCATCTCCCTCTGCGAGGGAAGCAAGACCCCGCCTCCCAAAAATCCTGGAGTAGGGAAAGCTACCACCCAAGCAAAAGGTTTCCAAGAGGTTCACACATCCAGGCTTTTACAAGGAAAACCGCTGAAAAGGGACCCTTCCTGCACCCATCCTTCTCTCTCCCTCCACACACAGGCACACAGAGGGGGCTCCCAAGCCCTGGTACCCCACTGTGCTGGTTTTCATGCCACCCCCAGGTG